GAGATCCTGGTAATATTCAATTTCGTACCCCCCTCCTTTTTCCTTCTACAAAGTATTATAAAATGGTCAGTCAGACTTAGATTATAGAACTCGTCGAGCTGTATCGAATGACACCAAAATCAAAAAAATTGGACTCGATTACCGAAATACAGACCCCTGAAAATTCAACAAACATAGGGGCGATTTTTTTTAATAAAAAAATTTTATCCAAATGATAGCTCATTCGAAAGAGCTCGTCAAGCTGTGTCGAAAGACACCAAAATCAACGTGATTAGACATGGTTTAACAAAGTTATGACATTATGTAGACCTAACGGAGTCGGCGACTTTATGTCATAACTTTGTCAAATCTTGTCCAATCACGTTGATTTTGGTGTCATTCGACTCAGCTCGACGAGCTCTTTCGAATGAGCTATCATTTGTATAAATTTTCGTCCCTATGGGTTTTCGCCCCTATGGTTGTTCAATTTTCAGGGGTCTGTATTTCGGTCAAATCGAGTCCAATTTTTTTGATTTTGGTGTCATTCGACACAGCTCGACGATTTCTATAATCTAAGTCTGACTGACCAATTTATAATACTTTGAAGAAGGAAAAAGGAGGGGGGGTACGAAATTGAATTTTACCGAGATCCTTCCTTAATAAAATCCCAGTGTACCATGATTGAACTATTCGTATTTAGATAAGGGCTTACTGAAAAGTCAGGAAACCAGATTTCTTCTATTTTTAGCGCCGCAGGTGAAAATTTTGAGAATTTTGGAGACCAAGAAGCCAGATTTCTTCCATTTTTAGCGCCGCAGGCGAAAACTTTGAGAATTTTGGACCCCCTGGATACGCCCTTGACTTAATCACTCAAACTGCCTTATATTCCCAGATTTCACCTTATATCCCGGATGGTGGACTGCGGATTGCGTAAGATTGTGTGTTTTTGACTTGTGGACTGAAGATTACGACTGCGTATTTTAAAGTTAAAATTGCGGACTGCGGAAAATTGTGTACTCTCAAAACTGATTTAGTTTCAAATGTTAAATGATGATGGGATCCCGCGGAATATATCCTATAAATCCCAGTAATCCAGCTTATCGATTAAAGCCAGTAAGTTCGAGATGTGAAGCAAAGTATGGAGCTAAAAATCATTCATTCAGCGCCGCAGGCAAAAATTTTGAGATATTCGGAAGGCTAAGGACCAAATTTCTTCCTTTTTCAGCGCCGCAGGCGAAAATTTTTCGAATTTTGGAAGGCCAAGGAGCCAGATTTCTCCCATTTTTGTCCACAAATCTGGTAAAAATATTATCGAGTCTTGTTCGAGTCGGGCCGACTTTTTCCGAGACAATTTTTTTCGGGCCTGTTTTTATCGAGTCGGGCCGGTACGAGTCACTTTCGGGCCTAACTTTATCGAGTCGGGCCGTTACGAGTCTTTTTCGGGCCCAACTTTATCGAGTCGGGCCGGTACGAGACTTTTTCGGGCCAAACATCGAGGCATGACTCGATCTTTCGGTCCGAGTCGGTCCATTTTGGCAACCCTAGTTGTAAGCCATAATCCTCCAATTTCATTCATTTTCTGCGCCGCAGGCGAAACTTTTGAAAAATTTTGTTGGTCATGAAGCTAAATTTCTCCCATTTTCTACGTCGCAAGTGAGGATGTATACTGAGGATTTAGGCGTCTCATGCGAATATTTTAAAAAATTAATGATTCATTTAAAATATTTAATGTCTTTTCAAGTTTAAAATATTTAAAGAATAAATTTGAAATCAAAAAAAAAGTTAAAAGACATTTATTTTTGAAAAGAAAAATTTTTCCAGCCTAAATTCCACCCCTGGATTCGAACCCAAACCTAACAAAATAAAGAAGTGATTGAAGTCAGTCACACTCACCACTCAACCATCGACCGTCAAAAGAAAACTTACGAAAAAATATAAATATTCCTTTCCCTTTTCTTAAAAAATAAATGTCAAAGTACGCGAGGGACGAATAAAATTCAAAAAATTTCCGTCATTAGGGGTGTAAATTTAGTCTCGGTTTCCGAGACTAAAACACCGAGACCGAGATCGAGACCGAGAGCTCAAAAAACCCGGGAAATTTCCCGACTCGGGAACCGAGACCGGGAATCCCGACCATCACTACTAATTAGTAGGGATCGGATTTGTATTGAAATATATTTTTTTTTCCTGAATATATTATGTCGAGAAAAGCCCAAATATGCCATTAGTTTTACGATATTATGATTTTGAACGAAGTTACATTTCGATATATTTCAATATTTTGCCAATTTTCCAGTTATTTCAATATTTGGCACTTTTTGCAAATTATTTCAATATATTTGCATATTTCTACCAAAATTTTGTGGTTTTTTCATTAATTTTAGGAAAAATTGAAGAAATCTAGCCGCTTGACAACCAAAATTCTCAAAATTTTCGCCTGCGGCGCTGAAAAAGTGATATTGTGGACTATTATTCACTACAGTACCGTTGGTTGCCTTCCGATAATTATTCAATAGAATGGCGACCGGCCCTTATTTGAATGTCGCCCCCCCCCCCCCAAATTTCTCCCAAATTTCTCAAGTAACAAAAACTCAGAATGAGTAACTGAACAAAAATCCCCATAAAGGCCGTCCCAAATGTTCCGCCTTCAAATGTCCCACTGATCAAAAGTCTCAAAATGGAATATTGAGCAAAACCCAAAAGGTCACAACACATTTTGCCAATCTCAAAATGTCTGAGAGTGTAAAAATACTCATTTCTTGTCGAAATATAAAGCTAATGTGCGATTTTAAGAATGAGATAAATTTTTTTGTTAAATTTCAATTTCTTTTTGGGGTTTTGCTAGTGAATAAACGATAATTTATTTCAATATTTCGCTTATTTTTGCCATTTTTTGTCAATATTATGCCATTTTATTTCAATATTTTATGGCCATATTTTCCGATTTTATTTCAATATAAATCCGATCCCTACTAATTAGTCCTTCACTTCCCACCTACACGTGATGTAATTAAGTAAAGATATATACCTATTTATTTATTAGAACTTTTATATTATTATTATCCAATCCTTTTTGTTTTTATCCAATTTCATTTTAATTTTTCTTTGCAAAACAAAAAAATGAAAAGTCCTTTATATCTTTCACTTCTACAGTCAAGCTATACAAATCAAGATGCTGCCATTGCTGCTGCAGCAGCGGAGGGTGCTCGATTGGCAGGTCAGCAAATTACTCCTCCAAAAATTGAATCTACAAGAAGATTAACAAGTGAATTTCAGGTGGAAATTAGTTAAATTTTTTTGATTGTTTAAATTAAAATTTCGTAAAAGTAAACCAAAATTTCAGAAATATTTCTAAAAAAATATTATTAAAAAAAGATATTTCTCTGCCTACTGGGTGCTCTTTTGAGTGCTTCTGTCAGTATTTGGATGGCAATTTTGAGTAAAGATAGTTTGGTTAAGAGAGCTTTAATATCTTCTGTAGCTGCTTTATGTGCACTTATTTTTGCTTTACTTGTTTTGGTTGCCCATAAAAAGAGAAAAAGAAAGTAAAAAATAAAGAATTTTCTAAAAAAATTTTTTTATTAAAAATAGAACACCAATTGAAGATATTGAAATTAGTCAATCTGTTCTGAGGGAACAGCGAAAGTCTATGGTAAATTTTAATTTGATGAGCATTTTCTAAAATACTTCAAAAACTAAATTAACATAAGAAAATTTCAAAAATATTTTTTTCAGACAAGTTCAATGCGACAAAAAGGCACAGGAGAGGAATATATGAGACAAATTCGAAGACATTCATCGGTAATACAAAAAATTATTTTTTTATTTTTAAATTATTTAATTTAGGTAATAGCTGTAGATTCAGCCAGACAACAATTATTACAACAACAACAAAGAAAGGAGAAAGCAGTAAATAGTCCAAGTCCAGCTTTGCTAAGCGTTGATTCACCTGAAAATTTACCTAAACGTGCAACTAGTATTTCACATTAATAATTTTTTGTCCAAATTTTTTTAAAATTTTTGCTTTAAATATTCTCAAATTATTTTAAATTTTGTTTTTTTTTGGTAGAGTGACACTTGTTTAAGGTCTTTAGAGTTACCCCTATTAAATTAAAAAGCTAAGAAGGAAAAATACCTACTTTATAGCAGGACTTTATATAGCCCAAGCCTCTATATAACAAACTCCAAGGGACAAATGTAAATTCATTATGACGAGATATTTTCTAACTCGAGCTTAATTATATTGAGTTTAACTTTATCACCAAAATAGTAAACACAGAATACAGCATATACAGACTATTTAAAAGTTTTTAGTTTTGTCCGAAAAAATGTTGATACCCCAAACATTTTTTCCATTAATTTAAACTTCTTTTATACATTTTTAGAAAATTTTATATAATTCTGTTTTTAAAATCTTTAATTTTCTTAAGAACAACAGCAATCTCCCCCCACACGATTCTCTTCAACTAATCCATGTTGATAGAGAGGACCAAACAAAAAATAGCCAAAAATATGTCCAAATAATAAAAATATAAACACAGGGACATTATACCTTTAAAGTAAAAAAGTAGATATAACTAAACCCTCTCAATTAAGATAACCCTTGCCTCAATTAATGATAGAGTTTCTTCTAAAATTGATTTTAAAATTAGAATGTCTAACACGATACTTTCTAGTAGGGTTGGGGTTTTCGAGTCGGGCCGACGTTCGAGTTATTTTTATCGGGCCGGCCCGACAGTCTTTTTCGGGCCAAAATGAAGCCCGACTCGATCTTTCGGACTGGGCCGGATTGAGCCCCCAACCCTACTATTTAGGGTACTCATTTTATATACCTATATGATTTTTAGAAAGCCCCAAGTCTTTTAGTGAGGTTTGTGCTTGTATTTTATTTTTTTTAATTTTTACGTCATTGCCAGCAACATTAAACAAAATCCAATTAAAGATTGGGTAAAATGCAGAATTGTTTGTGTTAAATGCCAAGAAGAAAATAAAGAAGAAGAATCAGAAAAACTTTTAAAAAATTAAAAATTTAATTTATAAAATTGAGAAAGAAAAAACATTAAAGCTTGATATAGTAATTGTGGCGGGGGTGAACATTCACATTGTTGATTGTTTATTTGGTTATTATTTTCGTTGTTTGCTAGACAATTCTTAAATTTTCATTAATTATTTTATAATTAAATGGCCAGGCATTCTACATATTTTTCAATTATTATACAAAGTGCTATCTTACTAGAGATAAAATTCAACAGTGAACCCGTAGAATAAATTGAGGGTTAAATCGGTTAAATAAATTAAAGTGAAACCCCATTTATTCGAGGTTAAAATCTGTAGCCTAAATTCTGTAGAATATTAACTTTACTCGGGTTATGGAGTTAAATAACTAGAATTGGCAAATGTCCAGTTGGCTGTCTACCTGTCCGCAAAGAGAATCCGCTTTTTTCTTTCCTTTTCTTGCATTTTTTGCGTTGGAAGAAGTGCACCCCCTCATTTTCCGTTTTCAGCATTTTTCCTTCTCAATACAGTATGTTTTCCTTTTCCTACTTGCAAAATAACTTTTAAAAATTTTAAAAGTTAATTTAAAAATATTTTAAAAAATATATTTATTTTACAATAATAAATTTTGGATAACATTCTCAAATAGCAACCATGTAGATATTCAATAACTAGTAATAGGGATTTTTTCTTTGATCAAGTTTTTGATCAAGAGTTTGATCGTTGAACAATGGGATCCAGAATTTTTCTACTGAGGAATTATTTGAAAATAGAGTAAAATTATAAAAATAGGCCAAAATTATAAAATATCAAATGGCATATTTAAATTATATTTATTTTATATATTAATTATTTGTAAATATTAATTATTTGTTTAAAATATTTTTAAATTATCTTTTAAAATTTTTAAAATTTATTCTGCAAGTAGGAAAAGGAAAACATACTGTATTGAGAAGGAAAAATGCTGAAAACGGAAAAAGAGCGGGTGCACTTCTCCCAACGCAAAAAATGCAAGAAAAGGAAAGAAAAGAGCGGATTCTCTTTGCGGACAGGTAGACAGCCAACTGGACATTTACCCTAGAATTAAAGGTTCTTCCACCTTCCACCGGGCCCTCTTATTCCAACTACATAATTAAAAGAGTGGAAGCAAAGCTAAAGACATTTCTCAAATTCTTTCCCCTTCCTTTTTTTAAGAAAATTTTCTTTTTAATTTTTTAAATTTAATTTACCTGTTTTCCTTCTTCTGAACGATATAATAATGCTCTAAAAATTCGAATAGCTTCATAAACAACTGAAATAATTAGAACAAACAAAAGAGAGATTATATAGGCTAAAAATAAATATTTATTTAAAATTATTTTAGTCTAACCGGTTAAATTGTTTGGAAGTATCCCTTTAAATAATAAATATTCATTCTCTCGAAAATGAAAATACATTTGCATCATCGGCATCATTTTTTAAAAATTATTTAAAAAATAAAAGATTTTTAAAAAGAATTAAAATAACCATTAAAAATATTTTTAAAAGTAATAAACTTTAGTTAAATTAAAAATATTTTTTATTAATTAAAAGTTTAAAAATTTATGATTAATAAAATTTAGAAAAGAAATGATTTGAATATCCAAAAAAGGTTAATGTAAATTAATTTCTAAAATATACCGTAAATACTCTAATTGAAGCCCTGGGCTTATATTTTTCAATTGGTCTCCTCAGATGGGCTTATATTAGAGGTGGGCTTCTACAAGAGGTGGGCTTCAATTAAAGTATTTACGCTATCTATAAATATCTAATAAGCCTTCTTAGTATGTTAATAGGTTTGGGCAGGAAATTTAGAATGGAATAAAGGAGTACAAGGATTTTTGCCTCACAAGGATTAGAATCTCATTTAATGCTATTTTGTATACCATTTTAGAATCTCCAAAAGAATGTTATATTATATGAATATTAATTTTTAGATATTTAAATTTAATTCAAATACCTAAAAATTAAAAAAATCTCTTTTTTAATGAATTTCAGGGTTCATTTGTCCATTTCCATTTAAATTATTTATTATAGGTTTACGCCTTCCAAATAACCAAAAACCTGTAGCCGTCCCCAAACAAACAGCTAAAAGCATCCAAACAGAGAAAGTCATAACAGCAAGCATTAATATATAGGATATTAATAATTGTAAACTAAATAATGCTGTTTGGCATAAATGGGCAGAACTTAGAAGTGAATCGACATAACGACGACTTGAAAATTAAATTAAAAAAAGAATATATAATTAATTAGACATTTTTGGGATCTCAAGGAACTCTCAGGGAATAGTCTTTGGGATTTCGAGGAAAGGAACATTCAATATTGGATAAACCTAAATTTCATAGATTAGGTTCAGAGTAAAATTAAGTTAGCCAATGGGGGGAGGGGGATACAGAGCTGGGGACAGTCTAAACTTTATACCCTCACTTAAGATACACAAATTATTTGATACGATTGTTTGTCCTAAGAATCAGGGCTATGTACCAAAATTTCCAAGAGGCATGCCAACTGCCAATTTTCAAATTCTTAAAAAACGCCAAACACAAAATGCCAAAAATGGCTAAAAAAACGCCAAAACACCGTGGGCTTGGTCATTCAAATATGTATCTTATAATGGGATTCGGCTGTTAAACAAATTATATTAGAACGAGTCCTTGAGTTTTCTGGACTTTGCCAGTATAAACAGAGAATGCCAAAATCCCGTCCTCATTAATAAAATAAATCCCTACTTCGGGCCATTTATTTTTTCTTTTCGCTGTTCCAATATTAAACGAAGCCATTTTAGAAATTCGAAAAAGAAGGCAGTTAGATAAAGGCCTATACATGCACCAAACATTCCTTTAAATTTTTTATGAATAATTTTTTGAAATAAAAGCTCAATGCAAAAACTATAGGTTTCATATGGATCAAAAAGTTATTATAGTATTAATCCGTCCCCCTATAGTAGTAATGATGGTCTCGGCTAGCTATTTCTCTTTCAATTGATCGAAAGTTTTTATTTAGAGATAGATCTCGAAATTTTTGATTTCGACAACTGATTTTTTGATCGACTTCTCGGTCCTATTTCCAAAACATCCCCTTTCCATTTCCCCAAACATTTTAAATAGGGTTGCCGTTTTCGAGTCGGGCCGACGGTCGAGGCATTTTTTTTCGGGCTTGTTTTTATCGAGTCGGGCCGGTACGAGTCTTTTTCGGGCCTTACTTTATCGAGTCGGGCCGATACGAGTCTTTTTCAGGCCTAACTTTATCGAGTCGGGCCGGAACGAGTCACTTTCGGGCCTGACTTTATCGAGTCGGGCATCGAGACATTTTCGAGTCTTTTTTTAAAAGATTTATTTAAAAATAATTAGTGGATTTGGAGGGATATCTGTGAATTAAAAAGTATATCGATGGATCTGGAAGGTAAAGGAAGGGCTGAAGAGAATTGAAATGGATATCAGTGGATTTGAGGGATTAAGGCGAGTTAAATTATCGGAAGATTGGTGTGAGATATTGCTAGATTTGGTTTTATTAAAGGAGATCAGATGATTAAGGGGATCAGGATCGCATATCAGATAATTAAGGTGCTATATTGTAATGGGATTTAAAAGGATTGAAGAGATCCTTTTAAATTGAAGAGATCCTTAATTGAAGAGATCCTGGTAATATTCAATTTCGTACCCCCCTCCTTTTTCCTTCTACAAAGTATTATAAAATGGTCAGTCAGACTTAGATTATAGAACTCGTCGAGCTGTATCGAATGACACCAAAATCAAAAAAATTGGACTCGATTACCGAAATACAGACCCCTGAAAATTCAACAAACATAGGGGCGATTTTTTTTAATAAAAAAATTTTATCCAAATGATAGCTCATTCGAAAGAGCTCGTCAAGCTGTGTCGAAAGACACCAAAATCAACGTGATTAGACATGGTTTAACAAAGTTATGACATTATGTAGACCTAACGGAGTCGGCGACTTTATGTCATAACTTTGTCAAATCTTGTCCAATCACGTTGATTTTGGTGTCATTCGACTCAGCTCGACGAGCTCTTTCGAATGAGCTATCATTTGTATAAATTTTCGTCCCTATGGGTTTTCGCCCCTATGGTTGTTCAATTTTCAGGGGTCTGTATTTCGGTCAAATCGAGTCCAATTTTTTTGATTTTGGTGTCATTCGACACAGCTCGACGATTTCTATAATCTAAGTCTGACTGACCAATTTATAATACTTTGAAGAAGGAAAAAGGAGGGGGGGTACGAAATTGAATTTTACCGAGATCCTTCCTTAATAAAATCCCAGTGTACCATGATTGAACTATTCGTATTTAGATAAGGGCTTACTGAAAAGTCAGGAAACCAGATTTCTTCTATTTTTAGCGCCGCAGGTGAAAATTTTGAGAATTTTGGAGACCAAGAAGCCAGATTTCTTCCATTTTTAGCGCCGCAGGCGAAAACTTTGAGAATTTTGGACCCCCTGGATACGCCCTTGACTTAATCACTCAAACTGCCTTATATTCCCAGATTTCACCTTATATCCCGGATGGTGGACTGCGGATTGCGTAAGATTGTGTGTTTTTGACTTGTGGACTGAAGATTACGACTGCGTATTTTAAAGTTAAAATTGCGGACTGCGGAAAATTGTGTACTCTCAAAACTGATTTAGTTTCAAATGTTAAATGATGATGGGATCCCGCGGAATATATCCTATAAATCCCAGTAATCCAGCTTATCGATTAAAGCCAGTAAGTTCGAGATGTGAAGCAAAGTATGGAGCTAAAAATCATTCATTCAGCGCCGCAGGCAAAAATTTTGAGATATTCGGAAGGCTAAGGACCAAATTTCTTCCTTTTTCAGCGCCGCAGGCGAAAATTTTTCGAATTTTGGAAGGCCAAGGAGCCAGATTTCTCCCATTTTTGTCCACAAATCTGGTAAAAATATTATCGAGTCTTGTTCGAGTCGGGCCGACTTTTTCCGAGACAATTTTTTTCGGGCCTGTTTTTATCGAGTCGGGCCGGTACGAGTCACTTTCGGGCCTAACTTTATCGAGTCGGGCCGTTACGAGTCTTTTTCGGGCCCAACTTTATCGAGTCGGGCCGGTACGAGACTTTTTCGGGCCAAACATCGAGGCATGACTCGATCTTTCGGTCCGAGTCGGTCCATTTTGGCAACCCTAATTTTAAATATTAATACATTCATTTTAAGCTTTAAATAAATTATTTTAAGTCAAACAAAAAATATTTTTCCCCTTCATTTATTCTCAAAATTTACCTAATGCCGTATTAATCGTCCAACATGATAGAAGTAAAGTATCATTTAAATCTGTATGGAAATACATCCACATTTTATGATGCATTGTATTATTATTCATTTTTTAAATTTTAAATATTTATTTTTATCAGAAAATAAGGAAACAATCGATTATTTTGTGAATATATTTTTATTTTAATGGTCTGTTGCTATATTTTATATTAACACAATTATATAAGAAAATTGATAAGGAAAAAAGTCATTAAACAAATAATTTATTTTATTAATTATTTGTCTGTTCTGCTTATCTTTTTAATTAATTAAAAGTAAATTTAGAAAATTTTCGATTTCGAGAATCGGGATGCTCGACCCATAAAAAACGTAGGGAATTCCAGAATTTCGGAAATAGAGGTGGCAGGGTATTTTAATCCAATAATTCTCCAGCCTTAGGGGTGTTTATACATATATGAAGCTAATTACTCAAAACATCGGAATTTAACAATTAAACGCAATTCAAAAAAAACAACAGAACCTCTATATTATTTACACACAATTTTTACAATATTCAACAACAAAAATCTACATATATATACAATATTTTAGACTATATTACTCCTATACTATCATCACATATACATACTAACACTCCATATATTTATTTATTCGTAGCAATCCTCGTTGTCAACGAACCATAATATTCCAACAAGCGCTCAACACTCTCGAAGCTTAAAAATAAAATTAAAATATTCCAACAAAGTAAAGAACCCACCAAATACGGTATGGCTCATTACACCCACTTCCAATCCTGTACGTACTCCAAAGCTTCTCATCTTTTCCCGGCTCAGCACTAGAGAAGTCAACAATTTGCAGATGAACAACTTTTGTTTTGGAAGCATCCTTGAAGGCAATCATTAGAGGCAATTCCAAAGTCAATTCAGAAGGCCAATCATCAGGAAGACGGTAGTAGATGAGCAGATTTTGAATTTGGAGATTTTCAAAACAAGACTCCGCATGCTGAAAATAATTAAATTTTAGAGAAAACAAAGATTTAGCCACCTCCAAAGTCATAGCTCTAATCACATGATTGACCGGCTCCTCAATCGAACATTGAAAAATCTTGTAGTTTCGAACAATAGATTCGTCTGTAACGAGACATTCTTTCGATTTTTTCGTCTTGCAAGACTCCATTTGTTTGTCCTCTTT